GCACTCCCGGGCCACAGCAGAGAGCTGGACTGGAATAGGAGCAACCGGGACAGAATCCGGCGCCCCAACCGGGACTAGAATCCGGAGTGCTGGCGCCGCAGGCAGAGGATTAGCCTAGTGAGCCGCGTTGCCAGCTGATCCTTCTTTTTTCATTGATGACCAGATAACCAAAATATAGCAACTCATGATATAACTCATATAAATGGACACTAAATTTTTTTTTACCTTATTCTCTCCCAAGTTAAATCTGGAAAATATGTAACTATTACAGTATAAAAGATTTTAGAATGACATTGTTTTATTTTTGTGAATGAAATCATTAAAGGTCACATATTGGAATGATTCTGTTTATATTAAATGTACAAAATTGAAAAATCAATCAACAATAAAAATGGAGGATGGTTAATTTAGGCTGGTGGGATGGGAGGCAGTGAAAAGTGACTTACATTTAGTGTCAGGATTTTGGGGAGGAGGGGTAGGAGCAAAGATGATGAAATAATCTAATAATAAGTAATATAATAAATTCAAAAATTGAACACATTAAAGAGGAGTTTTATGGAATTTGAATTATACCCCACTTTAAAAGTATATGTTAATTTTTAAAGGTCACTATTTTAGAGTCTTAAAAATATCATCATTGGACTAACTCAAAAATACACTTTTTATTTAGTGATTCATCAGAGTTGAGCAATATGGAAGTTCAGTAGTGTAACCAGGATCTGTGAAATGCTTATATAACAAAACTATATTGACTACATTATGTTAATAGTAAGCATCATAAAAATCCTTGGATAAGACACTTGTAATAAGGGAAATAATAACAAATAGACATTATGGAATTTGATGCTTTTCAATGATGCTAGATTACTAGAAATGAAAAGTAATTTAATAAATTTATCTACCTTATTATTTCAATAAGAATTTCATTTTCTCTGTTAGGGTTGATTGCAAAAATGGATATATATTTTTCATAAATTTATACACACAGTCATATACGTAAATATATGCTTATATTTACCAAGATATCTCACAATGTGTACATACAAATACTTCAAAATTTAAAAACCTCTAATATTTGAGACACTTCTGGTCTCAAGTATTTCAGATAAGGGATCTACAACCTGTTTAATTTTACATACAAATGAACAAATGATGCTGTCAAAGAGGAAGTAGGTCTGTTGAAAGATTCATCAAGCAAATACTTGGAAGTCAATTGATTATTCTTACTAGAGAACTAATAAACATTTATAAGCACAGCATCTTTCCTTTTAGTAGAAAAATAATTATGTAGAAAATCATAAAGACTGTCAAATTTCAAGTTACATACATTATATAATCAACATGAGTAAAGAAATGTTTGCTGTATTATAGGTTACAGGAATGTCTCATTAGTTTGATAATTTCCCAGACAGCTATCAAATTTAAATTTAAACATATATGTTTTAAAAAAAAGGAACAAAGATATTAGCCATAAATTATAATAGTTTAATGGGATATTTGCAAATTATGATTTATGTAATGGTCATTTTGTATTTTTACAACTTAGACAACTAGTGAATTTAGCAGAAAGCAAAGTGATTGTTTTAAAATGTGTTTGTGTGTGTTTGTGTCTGTGTATTTGTGTGTGTCTGTGTATGTGTATAGGTGCAACAGTTAAGTGGCCACTTAGAATGTCTGTATCATATTATCTGAGTCCCTGGGTCAATTCCTGGCCATTCCCCGTCCAATCCAGCATCCTGGTAATGAGGACTCTGTTGGGGGGGGTGGTTTGGTTCTAGTAGTTTGGTCACTGACATTACCTGGTTCCAATTCCTTACTCCCTGCTTTGACCTGATCCAGCCTTGGCTTTTTGAGGCATTTGGGGCATGAACAAGTGGATGGAAGATTTCTCTGTGTGTTTCCCTGACCCCCCTTCTTTTAAAGTGAAAAACACTAATAATTTAAAACCAATACTCAAAACATGTAGGGTCTTCCTATCAGTCTTAGGCCATACAGATATGCTTCTTTCCAACAACTTTTTTAAAAAATCATACTCCTCCAGTGCTATACTTTTGTCATCCTAGCCTCTGAGAGGAATAATCATTACTGGTTTTTTCTTTTCTTTTTAAAATATATTTATTTATTTTAAAAGAATTACATATGGCAAGAAATAGACGAGAGAGAGAGAGAGAGAGAGAGAGGGACACACACACACACAGAGAAAGAGAGAGAGAGAGGGAGAGAGAGAGAGAGAGAGATCTTCCATCTGCTGGTTCACTTCCCCAAATGACTAGGATATCCACTGCTGGGCCAGGCAGAAGCCAGGAGCGAGGAGCTTCATCCGGGACTCCCACATGGGTGGAAGACATGCAGTCACTTAGGCCACCTTCTGCTGATTTTCACAGGATATTAGTAGGAATATAGATTGGAAATGGAGCAATCGGGACACAAACTGGTGCCCATATGGGTGCTGGTGTCACAGACTGTGGCCTCACCAATGATGCCCAAACACCAGCTCCTCATTCTTGTTTTGCCTCATAGCATTTGAACTTGCTGTGTCCCAGGATTCTCCAACAGATAGTGTGTGGTTTTCTCTGACTTGATGTAGGTCTTTGTTCACATATCAGCTATTCAGTGAGGATCTTCCTGGTCACCCTGTCTGAAAGGAACTCCTCATTCATGTCATCCTCTTATCCTCATTTTTTTCTTAATATTTTTTGTGAGCTCTTTGATGTGTACACATTTGTGCTAGTGTTCTCCAGCTTAAACTCTAATTGGTTAATAAAGGAGGAACTTGAAAGAATAAATTACCGAATATTGATTTTAACTTTATCAATTCATATTTAATGGTAGGCTCCTGCTATTAATGCAATCCAGGAGTTTATCCTTAGATAGTGCTTTATATCAGTTTTACTTACTAGTTTAGTAATAAATACACTGGTAGACAAATATTTTATTTTTTGTTTCTAGTGTTAGTTTTTCATCTACTTAACACACACACACACACACACACACACACAGAGAGGACAGAGGAGCGAGATTGAGTTCTTCCTTCGCTGGTTTACTCACCAAATGCCAGGATCCCAGAACTCCATCAGAGTCTTCCACAAAGGTAGCATGTGTTATCAACACCTATCCCAAAGATGCATTAGCAGGGAGGTAGATCGGAAGCAGAGAAGGCAACACTCCAACCAAACCCTCAGGAATGCGGGCACCCCAATGGTGCTAGTGCCTGACTTCAGACAGATATTTTAGAGTTTGCATTTGGTCTACTCAGTTTTTTTTGTTTCATGAAATACTTGGCCAGATTGCATAGTGTGATTTTATTAAAAGCCTATGTTTTATCTTAAGATTTATAATTATAAAAATAATTTAATATAATATACATTGAATAGAATTATTAAAAATTGCTTATTCAGTGAAATCATTTATTTATATTCACAAATATTTGGTGCACATCTTATTAAGAGGTGACATCTATGCTGTCCACTGTCCCTTTCTCTCCCCACACATCTTGATATTAAAACGTTTTGTGCCTGCTTTGACAATGAAAAATATGATAGAATTTTCAATTATAGGTCAGATAAGCCACACAGTTTCATTTTTACCAGAAATATTAAGTGATATGAGTCATCATATCACTTTTATGATACCTGCATTACATGGAAATGCCATTTGTAGGGATTTTTTTTTTTGACAGGCAGAGTTAGACAGTGAGAGAGAGAGACAGAGAGTGTAGGGATTCTGATACACAGTCCAAGTTGAACCCAGCCTTTAAATCATAATTTTTTTTTTACTGGATACTAAACAATGTGAATTTCATATTGTTGATGGCTGGATTTCCTGGCAAGCAGTTAGGTCTTGTGGCACATCAAATTTCAAGTTTTTAACTCTGCAACTATTTCACCAACATACTATTTATTTTAATGTTACCATAGGGGTGTATTTATTGCCCAATTTGTCAACATAGGTATACTTTGTATAGGATAATGGAACAAAATGAGTTTAATCTTTTCAAAGGTACTTACACACTTTGTGTAAAAAGGCATGAATTCTCCCCTAGGACAAGTATAACGACACTTAAGACTAATTTTGGGGGAGTCTCTACACAATGCCAAAGATGTTCAATAAATATTCTACCCTCTGGCTAGTCTCCTAGTCCTGCGCAAGTATTGGGAATCTAAATATGCAATTCGCTATTATTCGTTGCTTGGCATTATGTATTTTAACGATATGTATGCATAACTTACAATTAGTAGCAGATTTTAATGAACAGTTATGCACATTTCAGGAGCTCTTTTAGAAGGTAACTTCCTTGCACATGTACTCTGCCTCTTAAATTCAGTGGCTTAAGCACCTCCTAACTCCTCTCTCTTCCTCCTCAATTCAGCAAGTGCACATGGATCTTGGGCATTCTCACCCTATGTGATTATTTGGAAGCTGTGTGCAGACAATCAGGACAATTTTGGATTCCACCTTACTTAGCTGTCTTCTCTGAGATCATAGTCTTAAGTTGCATGCTTTGTAATAGTTCAAAGTTATCTCATATATTTTCAAGGTGATTAAATTATTTGCAGTTGAAGTGAAAGTTCAATCACTATCAACCCCCATGGGTGGAAGCACAAGTCTCTATTTGGATTTTAATAATTTTTGTATCACAGGCACAGGGTGAAGCATGAAGAAGGAATATAGCACTGTAACATATAACATCATAGCAGCATCAGTTTTTGCAAACATTGCTTTATATACAGTTTATTCCATCAAATAAAAATAACAAAATTTAAAAGCAAACATTTAAAAATATTACTAAAATATCCTTGCAGAGCCTTATAATTTAATAAATGACATCATATATTTTCACTTTAGCATTAATGTGAATTTGAACTTAAAATAGTTACAAATTATTTAATGAAAAATTTATTAAAGATTTAGAATAGAAAGCAGCATTTGGTGTTACAGTTTCTAAGAAGGGAAAGGTGCTATTCTGAAGAAAACTCTAGAGTCAAGAGATAATTTTATCGTAGCAATGTGTCTTTTCTCCATTTAATAACACATTTCATATGTATACATAAATATGTGTGCTATTAAATTTGATATGTTCTTTTTGTTGAGGCTAAAATTTATTATATTTCCACAGAAAGAGCTGGAAATTATTGAAAGGGATATTGAACACTACTATAAACAAATTCTTGGTCCAGGAATTTCACAGTATTTTTTTATATTCACTGTGTTACAAAATGACAACAGTTATATTGCACATGCTCATGAAAATACTGACAAATTCTATATTTAAATTTATAATTAGTCTTGAATAACTAAATATATACTTTCTTGAATCAAATCTTGACAGTTCCCACAAGGCACTCTCTACGGTTTCATCCTGATGGCTTTCAAGAAATTTGATTGTTTTCTCATTTCTTGCTGTCCTAATTTTTTGCACAACTATATTTGATTCCTCAATGATTTATGTAACCTTAAATTGCATTCACTGTACACCTGTCACAGCCAAGAACTGAGTAACAGCTGGGAAAATCAAAGAGAATAGAGCAGCAAAAACTTTAGAAAATCGACTACCCAATGAGAAAAACCTCTGAGAAATAGAGGATTCTTGATATAGAAAGCCATGTAGGTACTTTGTTTACCTCAGGGGCAGTTTCCAAAACAAGTTCTATATGCATCTATTGTTTGTTTTAGGAAATGCAGGTAAACTGTCCACTGATCAGAGCAATTTGTTCAACATCATAAACATAATGACACAAGTTGGGCTACATCCACTATCACTGCATGGCACGCAGAGAAACAAAAGGTAGACTAAATATGGTCTATGCTTCATTCTTTGAATTCTGCAGCACTGTTTCTTCTGAATTGTACATTCAGAACTTTACACCTGAATTCTGTGACCGTGATCTCAGGAAACACAAGAGAAACGGGAAAATTTCATCGCATTCAAAGAGAAATTTGGATCCCAACATGAAACTTAAAACGATCAAGGATTTAACGTGCACAAAAGCTGCTTGTGAAATGTGAATTTCAGCAAAGTTATATAGGCCAAAATTGTAGACATGAAAATACATGTTTTTTATCTGCCAGAGTAAAGAAAGGCACTTTGGGGCCTTTTAACCAAATTTTGGTTTCTATGAACTGATAAATAGCTCTCTCCTTCTGACTATAACCTAGACTTTTCACATGCAATTTCTGACCAAATGATATCATTGTCACACTTACTTAGTCACTAGCCACCAGCGAGCTAGCTATTTTTTTTTTTTAAATGCATGCTTTATTGTTGATCTGGTAAGTGTTTCTACTATGACTGTTTACAGTGAGCGAGACGGGACTCAGATCTTGGCTATTAACATTTTCTAAGGCTGTGATCTCTGAACAGTTACTTAACCTCCGGGGGGGTCTCAGTTTCTTGAGGATTAAAATCAACAAGTAAATAAAAAGAATCATTAGTGGGAAATCAGGAGAGCATGTACTTCGTGGGGGTTTCCAGGAGTGTTAAGTTTGTAAACACACATAAGTGCTGAGAACCAAAGCTGATGCACAGTAAGCAGTTGGGGAGCCTGCTGTGGCAGCGGGCGGCGGCGATGATGATGAAGATGCTGATGATAACGACGCTGTCAGCAGCTACGACCTGCTCCACCCGCTTGATTGCGGCTGGGAATCGGGATGTCGCTAAAGACCGCCTTCATCAGCCTCTCGGCGACGGCGGCGGCCGGGGAGCCGCGACGATCAACGTGGAGAAGCCACGCTCGCAACCCCGGGCCTGGCGCGGGGTAGGGGCGCGGCGCTCGATTTCCTTCCCTGCCTCCGCCGTCCCCCTGGTGCGCATGCTCAGCCCTGCTCGGCCTTCGCCTTTGATTTATTTTTATCCCGGCGGCCGCGGCGACCCGGGACTGGCTCCGGGATGTGAAGTGGAGCCCCCGGAGCTGCATCTGCGGCGGCGCTGTGAGGAGCAGCCAGGGGGAGGCAGCTGCGGCTCGCCGGTGAGTATCCGGGAAGCGCCACCATGGGGTTCCGTAAGAAGAGCAGCAAGAACCCCCCGATGCTGAGCCAGGAGTTCATCCTGCAGAATCACGCGGACATCGCGTCCTGCGTGGGGATGTTCTTCTTGCTGGGGCTTATGTTCGAGGGCACCGCGGGAGTATCGATCGTGTTCCTGACTCTTCAGCACGGTGTCACGGTCCCTGCGACCGAGGAGCAAGCCTCGGGCTCCAGGTCCCTCTATCACTACGGTGGCAAAGACTTGGCCACGGTGTTCTTCTACATGCTGGTGGCAATCATTATCCACGCCACCATTCAGGAGTACGTGTTGGATAAAATAAACAAGAGGATGCAGTTCACCAAAGCGAAACAAAACAAATTTAACGAGTCGGGCCAGTTTAGTGTCTTCTACTTTGTGTCTTGTATCTGGGGCACAATCATTCTCATCTCTGAAAACTGCCTGGCAGACCCCACTCTCTTATGGCGCTCTCACCCCCCTAACATGATGACATTTCAGATGAAGTTTTTCTACATCTCGCAGTTGGCGTACTGGTTTCACGGTTTTCCTGAACTCTACTTCCAGAAAATCAGGAAACAGGATATCCCTCGGCAGCTGATCTACATCGGCCTTCACCTCTTTCACATTTCTGGAGCTTACCTTCTGTACCTGAATCATCTGGGGCTCCTTCTTTTGGTGCTGCACTACTTTGTTGAGCTACTGTCCCACATGTGCGGCCTGTTTTATTTTAGCGACGAAAAGTACCAGAAGGGGCTTTCTCTGTGGGCCCTTGTGTTCATCCTGGGGAGACTGACGACTTTAATCGTTTCGGTGCTCACTGTTGGGTTTCACCTGGCGGGGTCGCAGACTCGGGATCCAGACGCCCTGACTGGGAACGTGAACGTGTTGGCCGCTAAAATCGCGGTGCTGTCGTCCAGTTGCACCATCCAGGCGTACATCACGTGGACCTTAATTACCGTGTGGCTGCAGAGATGGGTGGAAGAGTCCACCCACCAAACCTCGAACGCCAAGAAGAAAAGGTCCCTGACTAAAGGCAGGTCTTCTAAGAAAGGAGCAGAGAATGGTGTGGAATCCGCCAGCAGGGTAGACGCCCTTCCAAAGAGGAAAGAGAAATCTTCATGATGAACTAACTGATTACCAACCAACTGATGAATGCCTCCAAAGGAATCTGTTCTTCTGTATTAGAGATTTTCCTGTTCTTGACAATTGTTTGTGCTCTGATTTTTTTTTTCCTTTTACTACTGTACTGCTTAATATATTTTAAAGGCATTTGAGGGGATGGTGATCATTGTGAATGGGAACAAAAATGATTTTGGCTAAGACTAAGCAATATGTAATCAAATGCTGTCAAGACAGTTTAGGGATCACCACCATATTTTGTCTTGAGTTTTTTTTTTTTAAACTTTGGATGTTTTCCTGATGATTTATAGAGAAAACTACAAAATTCTGCATATCAGTGATATAATTTCTTGTTCCCACGAATCTTTTATAATCGTTAACAAGGCAGTTTGTTATAGCAAGATCATATTTTTAATGTTCTTTTTCAGGGTAAATTGGAAAATACAAGTCAAATAACTGTTCTCTAATTGTTAGATGTTTTCTTTGTTTGTAGAGTTTACAACTGAGAAAATATTTGTAAAACCACCCAAATGACCATCTGTTTTATTTAATAGGTATTGATTGCTAGTGCTACATCTCCATTAAAAAGTGGAACACTAACAGGTAATATGTATGGAAATTTATTGCCATATGCATTGACTCAAACTATCTTTAAGTAACATAAAAGTTTGCTGAAGAAGTAACATAATTCCTGTCCATTTTAAACAGTGTTAAATGGGAACTCGTAAAATTAAATGAATATCATACTTAAAAGGTTTCTTTTTTATGTTTGTTAAAAATAGTTCTAAGTGAATTTTCATAAGTTGGAAAACCACAGAAACTTAGAAAAATGCTGTTTAACCTGTAAACACTTTTGAAAAATAATTTTTGATTTATATGTACAAAAAGAATTATACTAATTACATTTCAAAAATAATATGCTAACCTTAAATAATTTGAAAACCAGATGAATAAATAGTCTTATGAAATACTTTTTAAAAACAGTGTTATAGTCTTGCTTCCATCTTTAACTGGAAAATATTTATCTTATATGAGACGTATTTTGAAAATTATATGTACATATTTGTATATACTTTGTATCTTTATAGAAGCTAGTAGAAACAGTGAGTTGTAGAAGATGAGTGTATTTGTCTCCTCCCAGTCCTCTTTCCAATTTCATATCCATAATGCGAATGTTCATACATTTTTAATGAGATGGTACTTTAAAATAGACTAGAATGTGCCATGTGTTTCTCATTCCTCTGTATTTTCCCTGATGATGTCTTATCTCTATGCTTTTGATATCCTTCTCTTTGTTTTAAGTAATTCAATTTTTCCAACTGTGTTTGTTCCCCCAAGGAAATTCAGTGTAATTATGTCACACTTTACCAACAGAGAAGCTGCTCTCAGTGGAGATAAGTCACAAAACAAGACTTTTTATAAAGGCTTCTACAACAAGAGTTTTATATATTTTCAATTTTTATTTAGAATAATTGCACCTATTTATGGGGTACAGTGTTACATTTCAGCACCTGTAAACAGTGTGCAGTGATCAGAACAATAAACATTTCCTTTTCTATGTCATTATTTTCTGTTTGGAAGCTTAGAGATCTTCTCTTCCATTTGCTCATAAAATATCTAAAAGGTTATTGGGAACTATGATCACCTGCTATGTTGCGCGACATTACGAAATTAGTCTTTTTGTCTTTGGTACTCATTATGCACCCAACCTCTATCACCCACCATGCACACACAGAGAGACATGCACACACATACACACTAATGTGAGTTGTTGAAACTTGTATCTCAGAATCTGTGCTACTAAGGCTACAGAATTATCTAACTAATAATTTTAAAAAAAGTAGTGAGCATGATAGATTCTTCAAGGGTACTTTCAAGTGTTCTTGGAAAGATCAGAATTAAAAGATAATGGACCTTTTCCATCAACTCGTAGAAATCGTTATCCTTTGGTAAAAGATGATATGGGATTGGTAGGGTTAAGTTGGGTCATAAGTCACTGTCTTGTCAAATTAATTCACAAGTATTGATGATTTTGAGAAGAAAAATAAAAACAGAGAAGGATGCTGGGTGCATCTGAGCTACATATAGGAGTTCAATAATTATTTCTGGAAAATAATAATATGTCAAATAAATTGTGAGTAATATTACAAATGAAATTCAGTTCAATACAAATTGTTAATTCTCTTATTAAATATACTAGATATTCTAAAAGAAAAACTCATTCTGTCATGAATCTCAGTGTGATAATTTGGTCCCAGTCAAAGTGGACTACAAAGAAGCATTAATTTCTTTTATGATTTGAGGTATTATTAAATATGACATTAGTTATTTCTGAAAGTTCAAATAACTAATCATCAAAAGCTGCAAAAGTCATAAAGTTGTGTGAGATACTGATTTACTGATTTTCATTTATTAACTGCAATGGTTGTTAATCTTTATTCCTTAAGTAAGTCTACAATGTATACGTTTCCTAGGATAGATTCAAGTTATAATTTTCTTTTAAAATTACAATTCTGTTAGCAGTTATTTGAAAGTGTACCCCATTTTTCTTAACACATAATATTGGTGTGTTTTGCAACCTCTATATCTTGTAAGGGGCAAACAAGTTTTAGGCTTCATTGTTGCTTTAATGATCCGTATAACTCTCCATTTCATGTGAATAAGAAAACAGTAACCCCATAAAATATTGCTCCACTTATCTTTCATCAGCATTGTTTACCTGTAGGGGAGCTGTGCATAGTCAATATTGTATCAATTTGTGAACGATTAAAAAAGGTTAAGTTACACATCAATAATGCAAAGATTTTCAAAGATATAATATTCTATCCATTTAATTAGAAAAAACAAGGATAAGGTTGTAAGTTCTTAATCAGCTTGGTGGAGAATAATTCATACAGAGTAACAGCAGACATTTTGCCATTACCTTACATAGGAAGTCATATCTAAAAATTTCTTAGAGGAAACTTTTGTTGGGAAGCATGCTGGTTCATGAGGCATGTGGAAGGGGCTGACTTGTATCCCTGCATTGTGGTAGAGAACACCTTCCAGCTGGGAATGCAGGCCTGGCTAACCTGGAGACACAGAGGTGACACGCTTGGCTGGATTGTTGTTGACTGTGTAGAGTAATTAACTTTTGATAACATCAGACTAGATGATTATATATTTCATACTTCCACCTCCTGAGTTTCTCTGGAAATAAATTTTTTTTCTTTTCACTACCATCTTGGAAAAACTACCCACACTGGAAAGAACAGAGTAGTGCATGCCAATTATTCACAGTCATGTAGAAAAATTATCATAAGTACTTCATTTTAAAAGATCAGAGATTTTCAAAATATCAGATTGGAAATCTCTTATAATTGTGCAGTCATAAGACTAAATTTTTCTCTGTAAAACTTTATAGGCAAATCCCTTTTAAACCCTGTACCATCTCTCACAGTTTTAAATATTCGGTAAGTCTGGATAAGTCAAATATTAAGAAATGAGCTGTTGAGGTGAATAGCATGTACTTCTCTGCTCTCTGGTGACACCCAGGTATTTTGTGTTACATAGCATTATATTAGCTAATCGTTTTCATTTCAAATGTGAAAAATATATTGGTTTGAACTGACTCCTCAGAGAGATATTACCATATTTCCTAGGGGAATGATCCTGGAGTGTGAAACATGGTTAAAGTTTCAATTGAATCTTTGAAAAAAAAAGAAAAGGATTGTGTGTTTGGTACAGAGGTTGAGTCCTGACTGTTTCTGAATCCAGCTTCCTTCTAATGCACACCGTGGAAACAGCAATGGTTACCCAGGTACTTGGGTCCCTGCCACCAGTGAGGGAGACCCAGATGCTGATCTGAACCATTGGCAGTTTCAGACATTTGGAAAATGAACTAGTGGGTGGAAGATCTCTTTCTCCGCTTGTGTCTGCATCTCTCTTTTCCTTTCAAACTGAGTAAAAAATTATATACTCTAACGAAAAGTAAAGTGTTAATGCCACAGTGATGTAATGTTTCAGCCAGCCTAGAAGTGACTGGCATCGCTGTTAAGAGATACAGCTACCCAATAATTCAGGGAAAAGTCAAGCTTACCCATAGGGCAGATTAAGTCCCAAAGTTAAAAATAATGCTCAATTCCAACACCACCAATGCTATTAATTAAATTATGTCAGTTTACAGAGTATCATGGCTCAGAAAACATTGGGAAAACAGAACATTCACTAGTGCCCAACTGAGATTTTTCCTAAGTCATCTCACACTGAAAAGTATTTGCATCCCGAGATCAGTTTGACATTTCTTCCTCTTACTGTTCTTATTGTGAAGATACTTATAAAAAATCTGTATTCTTACCTCAACCTTCAAGTAAGTCACATAAATAAATATAAAGTGTCAAGACAAACATTTAAATATAACATGAATTTTAATACATTGTTAAATATGTTTCCAGCTATATAAATATAAATTCAACAGAGGAAGGTATTGATGTTTATAAATAATGGTTAACAGAAGGACTGAGGATCCAGCCCTTGCTCTGGTCTTAGATCTATGTGAAACCTTTAACATGCTGTCCTGGATTGCATACAACTATAGGGACAAGGATACTTCTTTATTCTCAGAAAGCTGCCAGGAAGATTAATAATGTATACCTATACAAAGCCATAATTACTTTTTGCATGTGTGTGTATACAGCTTAGCTTGTATGTTTATATATTCCGCATACATGTATACAGTCTCTGTTTATGCATACATATATGCATGTGTACATACATCTATATGTTTAAGATTTAGTTATATGAAAGACAAAATGACAGAGGAATGAGATGGAAAGGTGGATGTGGAGAGGGACAGAGAAAGGGAGAAAGAATGGTAGAGAGAGATCTTCCATTCACTGGTGTCATATATTATAAATTTTACATAATTGCACACTCATTAGGTTGTACAGTGTCATATATATATTACAGTCCCTCAAAATTTGTTGAATTTACTTGTAATAACATTTTATTTCTCTATTAAAACTCATAAGCACACAAAACTTTTAAGACCTTTCCTTTGTTATGTTTTTAAATATTTGTTTTCTTTTGTTACTGTTTCTAAATTAATTATTTATTAATTATGTATCTATAATTTGTTTACTTCTTATCTTCTCTGCATATTTCAGGGCTAATATTATGCATTTTTTAAAATCACTAAAGTGGGGTAGATGTTGTGTTGCAGCAGGTTAGCACGCTATTTAGAATGTCCGCATTCCATATTGGAGTGCTGGTTTGAGTCCTGGCTATTCTGTCTGACCCAGTTCCCTTTTAATGAACCTGAGAAGCAGCGGATGATGGCTCAAGTACTTGAGCTACTGCGGAGACTTGGAAGGAGCTCCTGACTCCTGACTTCAGCCTGGCCCACCCTCAGCTATTGTGCTATTTGGGGAGTGAACAAACAATGGAAGATTTTCTCATACCCGCTCTCTGTCTGTGTGTGGGTGTGTGGGTGTCACTCTGCCTTTCAAAGAAATCTTTGTAAAAATCACTAAAGAAAGTTAACATTTATGCAAGTCTAATACAGTGGAAGCACACAATGAATATATTTTGATTGACAGCTCATGATTTGAGGATGGAGTATACATCATTTATTGGTTCAAACATAAATTGCAAAAACGAATGCATGTAAATATAGTAATCTCTACGTAAACCACTCAAGTGAAAACCCTGGCTCCCAACATTAGAATATTGTTTAGGATGGATGCATATCAAACACGACATCCTAAAGCCAAGTTTGCTTTGCCAAACTCTTTGAAAGTATACTGCTGCTTTAAGATAAGAATTAAGTTAATAAATCTTCCAAATGTAAACTATTATTTGAATCCTAAGCACCTGGATCAGAGGGCAAATCTGAATCTCACACATTTATAAAGGTACTTGAATTGTTCCCCATTTTTAACAGCATTTTTGTAGAGCTGAAGAACAAGGAGAATGATGTCATTTGAAAAGATGCAAAAAACTGAAAGAGGGACGTGATGTTTGCTGTGAAAGGAAATCAGACATCCTAACATACTATTAGAGCTCAAGGCAGTGGTCATAGCTGAGGACATAAATTTGGGGATCATCATTCTAAAAGTAATTTTAAGTCAAGTCATTGAACAAAGTCATCTAAGAAGAGGCATATATAAGGAGGAAAGAAGTCTATGATTAGCCTTGGAGCATTCCTATAGATAAAAATCAAGCAGTGCAATTGGAGCCAAGAAGGAAAATGTGTGAGTGGTTAATGTAGGAGAAGATCAAAAACTAAAGGTAAATAAAACCCTGGAACCCAAACCTGGCTGACAGCTGTGAAGTAGGCAAAAACCAAATACAGTCACAGAATCCCAAATAAACATGTATTAAGGGCACAAACTATTCTATTCAATACAACTGAGAGTTAAATTTCATTGAGATTAAAAAATTTCAAACAGTGGGGATTTGACAATGGATATGTCACTGGAGATAGAGGATCGATTTCAGTGGAGAGGTGGAGATGAAAGCCCTCTTGGAATAGATTTAGGAGAGACTATGAGGTTAGGATTTGTCATATTATATTATAAA